AAGCATCAAATCATCATCGCTGCTGGAAGTTGTAGATTCGTTGCAAGAATCATTAGAGTAATTCCGAAAGGTAATTTTTTCGATACTACTCTCTTCATCATAGCTGTTAAAAGTTGTCTTCTTCAGATTCAAAATCATTTATAATATTATCTTCACAAAGGCTTATAACTGATTCACTATCTACATTATCTTGGCTGCTACTGGTTGTGTTGCTGTTGTAAAATTTAATTGAATTATTGTCATCAAAACTTAAACGTGATTTACTATCAATATAATTGTTTTCGCTAGAAGTCGAAGCCTTACTGCTAGAATCATCACCTGAATCATCGTTTTCAGTCTCTAAAGTTACAGTTTTGCTGATGAATCGTTATTATTCTCCTTAGAAACTGCCATAATTATACTGCTAGATTCAACACTTGTATCATCGTCTTCACTCTTGTTGTCCTCATCTTGGCTACTATCATCACTGGAGATTGTCATTTTATTGTTAGATTTAACAATTGAGTCGTCATCTTCACTCTTATCGTCGTCCTCATTTTGGCTACTATAATCTTTATTGGAGAATGTCAATTTATTGCTAGATTTTTCGCTTGTATCATCGTCTTCACTCTTGTCATCGTCCTCATCTTGGCTGCTATACCCTTTGTTGAGGATTAACATTTTATTGATAGGTTTGTCGCTTGTGTCATCGTCTTCACTATTTTCGTCGTCCTCGTCCTGGCTATTATCATCTTTGTTGGAGATTATCATTTTATTGCTAGACTTATTGTTTGTGACATCGTCTTTATCTTTGTCGTCCTCATCTTGGCTACTATCTTCTTCGTTAACCATTTCGTCATTAAAATATTGCATGTTATCATTCTCATCATCATTAATGATTGTCATTTTAGAATTCTCGTTTGAGTCATTGTCTTCAACTTTTCCATTATCTTTGATACAAATATCATTGTTAACCATTTCGTTATTAATAAATTGCATGTCATTAACCTCATCATCCTCATCCGTATCATTAATGATTGTCATTTTAGAATTCTCGTTTGAGCCATTGTCATCTTCCTTATCTTGGTAACTACCATCTTCTTTGTTAAACATTTCGTTCTTAATAGATTGTGCGTTATTTATATTAATAATGTAAGAGTAAGAAAAAGATAAAAAAAGATTTTATTTAGTATACTTACAAAATTTTCATCAGAGAAACCATGAGACTTCAATGCGTTTGGATTTGACTGCAATTCATCATTTTCAGGTTCTGAAGATATATAATGATTTATTTATATCCACATACGTGTAATTTCTAAAAAATTTTATTAACATCCTTACCTGAACTTGATGATTTTTCAATAGGAAGTTTGTCCATATTCAGTCTTGTTAACAAAGGTAAGGTAAAAAAAAAAAAATGAAAAAATGATCAAAAAGTTTGCAATATAGATTTATTTTAACGATGTTTAGTAAGTTTATCACGAGGATGTTTACGTTAAACGTAAATATCATAATCATGCCAAAACGGAAATAAAATAACCAATCAGAATCGCGGTTACGATTTGATGATCAACTTAGCGAAAATTACGACAAGGAAATAAACCTATAAATTAATAGGTTTCGAAATAAAATGTTGAAATCTTTCGAAATATAGTTTCGCCCTTCAATTGTTTTTTAATATAAGTGTTAAAGTCGCAATTACTTTTGAAAGTCGTAATCAAATATATAAATTTGTATTGTTGGTGGATTTACATAACATAATTTCTTCCGGGATTAAAAATTTTTTAAATTAAGCCAAATTTATAATGGCGGTCAGAATTAAACCAATTAAACCAAGCCTAAATTTGATTTTAAAGACATTTTTGAAAAAAAAATAATTTAATTTATATAATTTTTAGAATAATTTTTTTTGAGATAAAAATTTATAACTATTTATTTTTATATAAATTATTTGAATCTATATTTAATTTTTAATTTTTAAATAAATATATATATATATTTTTAAGAGAAATTTTTATTTTTTTTTAAAAATACTATTTTCCAACTTGAATTAATTTAAAAACCTAAAAATACTTTAAATTATAAAGAAAAATTACAAAAAATCACATATATATACAGTATATTAATATATAATTAATATTTATCTTATTTTTTTTTATTATATTATTTATATATAAATATAAATATAATTTAATTTAATATAAATATATAAGATGATTTGTTTAAATATTTTAATAAAATTTATCACTTTTATAAATTATATATAGGTTTAATTTTTTTAAATTTTACATAATTCTTAATGAGATATTAATAAAGTTTTATTGACTTTTATTATTTAGACAATTTTCTAAACCTCTTATTTTACTAAGAATCTTATATATATATATATAGGAAAGTATTAGTATAAAAGGAGAAAATCTAAAATTTTTATTAATTTTAATTCTTAAGCTAATTTTAAGTATATGACAGTTAGTGCTCCGTAAGGGTCGGGTCGGGTCGGGTTTGAAGCATATTCGAACTCGAACCCGTTAATAATTACAGAACC